ACCAAGTATAAATCTCCCTGCTCTAAAGTCTGATCCTAGCTGGGGGCTTCTGGCCCTCTTCCCAAGTTAACACCTCCTCCGAGTTGTTAGGCATGACATAGAAAGTGGCTGTAGGAATGTTTGCAGCAGCATTACACACATCCCATATGATCTTCCCTCTCCCCAAACCTTCACATGCAACCTGTCACAGTTGAATGGCCACCCCACATCTTGCTTTGAGATTGGTGGGAAGGGAATAAGCTACAGTGAGAACAGTCACTGCATGGCCTGGCAGGAAGGTGGGGATGCCTGGTGGGCTAGTGTCCAGGCATAATGAACTGGTCATGGGTTGGGAAGTCACTGCTGAATGGGCCAGTGTGGAGCAACGGATTATGCTGTTTGCAGCCATGGTGGAGGAGTTGGGGTGCAGGGCAGGGAAGGGAAGAGGACCTGGCTTGGTTGTGCAGATGCCCTCCACACACAAGTCTCCAGAGCAGAGGCACCATGTGAGTGACTATGCTGATCCCAGAGAAGCTTCAGAGGACCATCAGCACGGTACGAGTGGGAGAAGAGTCAGATGTGTGAGATGTGGACAAGCAGTGCCCCAGAATGGGTGTGGGACAGGACAAGCTGGTAGTGACCACAGGAGCTTGTGATATTTCCAAGTCAGGTCTTCATTGTTTTGCTTTCTGCATTGGGAAACAGGGAAAAATCACTGTGACAATGCATGCAGACAAATTCCTTGTTTAATCTATCCTCATTGCAAGGCTCACAGCTGTGGCTGAGAGAACTTTTACCAGCACTTCAAGGACATCCCTCTCCCTTAAAAAGCTCTATGTGTGAAACTTAAATAAAATCCTCTTCTCCACTTGTGCTATAAAACTTGGAAGACCTTCTTTGAATGGCAAGCTACAGAAAATGGAATCAACCAAACAGGAACACAACTGTAGAAAAACAGTGTCGCAGCTTTCTACATTATCCATGGGAATTGGAACCAAACAACTACGTTTCTTTTACATGCACACAGATGCGCAAAACACACATGGCCCAATACGTGTGTTTAGGCTTCTCTTCCAGAAAGGGACAGACTGGTCTGGGCAGACAGAGATGCTTGGGATGCCTAAAAGTCATTGAGGTGCCCCTTGGAATTGTTGCACCTTGAGAAA